CACACACACACATGACGTTGCGTCACTTCAGGAATGTGGGTTCTGAGAGAACCAAGACCTTGACGATTATCGAAACTTTTCATCGAATGGTAGGTAACACATACGAGATGGCGGATCTACCGCCCGTGATTGACCTGTTCGGACGTGAACTCCGACTCATGGATTACCCATGGAGAATAACTCGCGCCGTGATACTTGCATTCATTCGAAACTGCAGGGACGCGGACGTCCGAAATAAATTCCAGGAGTACCTGGAAAAGCAAGAAGCACCAAATCGACGGATATAAAACTGAAAGTCCGGAATAAAATACGTCAAGAAATTCACACGACTCGGAATATAAAGCTAAAATCATAAATCGAAAAATCAAAAATCAAAAATCAAAAATATAATTTTGCACGGAATGAAAATAAATTTCCAGGGACGAAAAAGAAACATACACGACTGAGTACCCCGGAATATCACGGAATTTCCGCAGATATAACGACGTAACAGTGTCGCTCACATTTCCAAACATACAAAACAGATAGAAGATGAAAGACCTAAAGCAGTGGAAACGGACCAATAAAGAAAAAGTACTCACCTGAAAATGAAGGAAAATTCACGGCCATGAAAGTAAACAAGAACAGAACAACAAACAAGGCCAGATTCGAGTCAGTATAAAAAAACAGCGGAGTTATAGGCAAGTACCACAATAAGACGGAACTCCGACAGAGAGGAGAGTACGTGAGTAACACGCACAAAATCATTAGATATGATGAAAGTAGCTCCAGATTGAAGGCATGTTGGAAATCGACGACGACAAGGACAACACAGAGAGCGACTGCGGGAGATCCTGAGGATAGATGATGAGTACACTGCAAGGATAGGGAAAGTGGCGAAGAAGGACTGGGAACGAAGGGTATAAATACTGAGGATAGTGGATGAAATGATTACCTGAGCAGTGAGGTAAAAGGGTAATCGTGACTGGTGTCGCATGCCATGGACATTAGGTGTATGCTGTGAAAGTAAAACCTCGCACGTTCTGTCTACATTTGCATGCGTATGCTGTGAAAGTAAAACCTCGAACGTTCTGTCTACATTTGCATATGTTTATCTCTAAGCACGGTGCTTAGAACTTGCGGGCGGTACCCGCGATGATTGGCACTGTATAGACCTGTCACTCTTCCATTTTACATTCACTGTCTTTATCTCTCTCTCATCATTCGTAACCCTTTTCTTTCATGATATCATAGTGGCGATTTGTTAAAGATTACTATAGCGTGGAGATTACTTAACGATTTTTGTAGATTCTATTTTACTTATCTGGTGTGTACTGAAGACGATCAACGACGTTGTGGGGTTTTTTATTGATTTCTAGTACGAAGACTACCTACCTGACGTTCCCAAGCTTCAAGGAAGATGTCGCGTTCGCGATCATCGCCGGACAGGAGGCAGTGCAGACACTCATCATCATCTTTCGGATCTCAAGGGAGGAAGCGCTCAAGAAGGGGGAGATCGAAAACTCCGAGAGATAGAAGACATAAGTCAAGATCACCATCGTCACGGAGAAGAAGGGCGGAGTCAGAATCTCCAAGGTGGTTCTCGAGACCATTGTGGGAGCAAAGACGGAATGATTTCCCCCCATCGGAAAATCGAGCGTGGTTTACGGCGGATCTAAAGGAAAAAACTTTTAAGCTCCGTCGGGAGATGGACAAAGTTCTCAAGATACTGGAGCAACTCGCACGAAAGACAAGTGAAAAGCAGGCAGCTCCTCCGAACAAGGAAGACACTGCAAAGAATTCTGAGTTAACTCCGGACGCGCTCAAGTCCATCATTGATGAAGCACTGAAGCCGACAGAGATGAACCAAGGGGGACAGAATCAAGTTGGTCCAAGCGCAACCGGTCAGAAGAATGCAGAGGCGGAAAATAAAGTAAAAAGGATGGTATCGAAAGTGAAGAAGGAGGTCAACAACCTGAAGCTATTAAAGTATCATCTGGCGGTTATGAAGGGCGCGTTGCAGAAGATCAATGAACCGACTCGTACCTGCACTCCGATCGTGTCGTCTTCGGTTCATTCGAACGGATATGTGGGGAACAATGGTTGAACTACTAACTTCAGTACATGGTAGCCACAACATTCCAAGCTGAAGCATGCCAAGCAGAAGCGCACTGAACAAAAGCAGATTGGGACGCGTAATCCTTCCACACCCCAAGAGAGGACGAACGAAGATTAATCGTAACGTGTCGGCAGCGAAGTCAAAGGCAAAACAGAGTATTAATTTCGGGGTCGAACCGATGACGGACATGTAGCGCCTTCGTCTTCACTACACGGACATGAAGGTCTTATGCAAGATGCATGACATCAGGTACAAGGACAAGTTGCAAGCGATCTCGACATTGAGGCACGTTCCTGGATTGATCGCCTACAAGGGGCGGGACTTCAACCGGGATTCTGATCTTGAAACACAAATCATGCCAGATCCAGATAACATCAGAGTGTCCAATACAACTGGCGGCGACACAAGTGAGGATGATTACGAGAGCCTTAGTACAAGATCAAGCGGGAGTGATGAGTATGACTCATCCGACACATCTTCGAGTGCCGAAGATCTGTCGGGAATGTAGAAGACACCTCAGCATCAGGCGACCTCACCACGACACAGAAGTGGGAGCAGATACACAGGCTATCAACGAAAATTGAGCAACTAGTTAGTACAAGGAGTTTCAACTTGGTGTAGACATATGTACGTGGGAAGGATAGGAAGACATCCCGACAACAGATGGACTGAACACATAAACTTGGCCAAGAATCCAAATAGAGGATCACAACGGAAACTATACAGTTGGCTGCACAAATTTGGTTGGGAGAAATATGTTCTGATACCCATTTGGACGGGAGTGAGATCAGAGGTGATAGGGATGGAAGCAACACTGATTAGGAGACTGAATCCATTCTTGAATACAAGGGGAAAAGGCAGAAAGACTCGGAAAAACCGAAGACGAAGAAGGAGAAAAAGGAAGAAGAATGAAAACAATGAGGTGAATCAGAATATACCTGTTTTGTTTAAATCGGTTCGATCGGGTTACACTACGAAGGTAACATCAATACTTCAACCGAAAGCAATGATTTACTGCACAGATGGAAAAATATGGAATGAAAAATAGAAAGTAATTAAACGAACATTCGGATCAACAATTGTGGAAATTGACAACACAAAGTTCCAGCTAAAAAAATGCAGAAAACAAATCGAAAATGGATGTATCTTCTATGTGATCCAACTGGTGCATACGAGACCGAAAACAAACAAACATAGAAATATTCTGATTAACTACTTGAGGGCACCATGGAGACAGAGGGAACTGTATAAATTATCATTAGATGATATACTGATTCTTCTGTCAAAGGTGGGATCGATTACCGAAAAAAAGCAAAAACGAACAATTAACGGCATCTTCACACGAATTTCAAAGAAGAAGTTTGCATTCAATATGAAGAGAAGGCTGATATTTAAAATTTAATTTGATGCATGCATTAATTTGAAGCAAGTGAGAAACAGAACAACCGAGTCTATCTTGGAAAACGTAAGTAATAACAATTTGGCAAACGATTTGACAACTCGGATGCGTGTGATGTTTAAAAAATCAAAGACAATCGGAAAAATATTACACAATCACAGACATGTACTTACACAAGCACCGGACTGTAATTGTGCATCATCCCGACTTCCAAAAATTGAGAACCACATTGCCTGCAGATTAAGTGAAATCACAGAAAATCAGCTCTTTTGGAATGCAAACGTACCCCATATGAATGAAATAATTGGAAAGGAAGAAATTAAAAGGACAATCATCACTACCATTGCAAGTATACCACGACCACTAAGGAAGAAAAAAAAAATTAAAATAGATGTCTCTACTTGCATCGAAAAGAAGAATGATATAAAGATTTTTCTTCACATATCAGAAGTATGGGAAGTAAAAAGAAGATTGACAC